GCATCTAATGCTTTTATTCTGAAAATAGCCCAACAGCAAAGTAGCAACCCCTTCTCTTTTGCCCAATTGTGCATTTTAGGCAATTTGCACAAAAACGGTTCCTATCAAACTAATTTTGATCCACTCCCATTAACAGTGGCAGAAAAATAACATGACAAGGAGAAAAATGTTAGAATTCCTGATTGGCACCTGCAGGAATAAGATAAGCAAGGACTTACAACTCAAGTGGGATCTAGAATGATGCTGAAGCAGACCAGTTTATGCCATGCAGTCCACCCTGTCTTCCTTAAGAGAACCTGCTGCTCTTAAATGTGCTGGTGAATATAATTCAGCTTTCAGACCAGTTTCCTTTTATGTGTGAAATGAGGTGTAGCACCTTCTTATCCTTTGCCTCCAGAGGCAAAATGTCTTGACTCGGCCTTCCTCAGAGAAGACTCCATGGATGATGGCATGCTAAGGTAAGAGGGAGAAGAGCTGAAGAGGAAGACATAGAATGATGGCGGGGCCAGGAGGAAAAGGAAGATTCAGATCAGTTTAGTTCATTTTTGTCTCATGCTGTCACATCAATTCTGATGGCAACCCTTTCCAGGGTTTTCTAGGTAGAGAGTACACAGAAGTGGTTTGCCCTTCCTTTCTTTGGGGGGAGCCCTGGGACTGTGCAGCTTGCCCAGGATGATTTGATTTGATTTGATTTGATTTGATTTGATTTGATTTGATTTGATTTGATTTGATTTGATTTGATTTGATTTGATTTGATTTGATTTGATTTGATTTGATTTGATTTGATTTGATTTGATTTGATTTGATTTGATTTGATTTGATTTGATTTGATTTGATTTGATTTGATTTGATTTGATTTGATTTGATTTGATTTGATTTGATTTGATTTGATTTGATTTGATTTGATTTGATTTGATTTGATTTGATTTGATTTGATTTGATTTGATTTATACCCCGCTCATCTGGTCAAATCGACCACTCTGAGCGGCTCAACTTCTACAATTATACTACAAAGAAAGATAAAAAGAAAAACAGCAGGTTTCCCCAGTATTACTATAGTTACTAATCTATCTATTCCCTAGTGGACCTTCACATTCTTCTTTAATCTATGCTTTCTAAGCTATCTTTCAATTCTAATTATGAAATAATTCCCTATTTATGAGTCCTTTTAAAGGTAATCTTCATTTATCATTTCTGTTTCCTCCAAATCCGCAACTTCCCATGTCTTTCCTGTCAGCTCCTCTAAATCTGGGATATCTGTTTTCTTCTAGCATTTTCCATCTAATAACTGTAGAAATTACATACATTATCAAATATTTCATTTCTCTAACTAACATCAAAGGTCTAATATTCATCAAAAAGAACAAGTCCAGTTTATATGTCACGTGGAATAGAATATTTTTCAAACTTTCATCAAAAATAAGATCATGGCCACTGGTCCCATCACCTCCTGGCAAACAGAATGGGAAGATATGGAGATAGTGACAGATTTTACTTTCTTGGACTCCATGATCACTGCAGATGGTGACAGCAGCCACGAAATTAAAAGACGCCTGCTTCTTGGGAGGAAAGCAATGAGAAACCTTGACAGCACCTTAAAAAGCAGAGATATCACCTTGCCAACAAAGATCCGCATAGTCAAAGCTATGGTTTTTCCAGTAGTGATGTATGGAAGTGAGAGCTGGACCATAAAGAAGGCTGACCACTGAAGAATTGATGCTTTTGAATTGTGGTGCTGGAGGAGGATCTTGAGAGTCCCCTGGACTGCAAGGAGAACAAACCTCTCCATTTTGAAAGAAATCAACCCTGAGTACTCACTGGAAGAACAGATCCTGAAGCTTAGGCTTCAATACCCTGGCCATTTCATGAGAAGAGAAGACTCCCTGGAAAAGACCCTGATGTTGGGAAAGTGTGAGGGCAAGAGGAGAAGGGGATGATAGAGGACGAGATGGTTGGACAGTGTCA